TTCCAGGCCATCTGTGAGGTGATGCATGGAGTTGCCATTGTTCAAAGGCCTCGCCTGGGACGCATTTTCTGCCTTCCCTTCTCCTCCCATTAGGTCCTTCACAGAGTCCTCTTCCTTGCAATATTCGTACTATAGCCGTTCCACACCCCAAATGCGTTTCCGGTTGGGTGAATCCTGCTCCTTCTGGGCCGTTGCTGGCCAATATCTTCCCTCCAATCTCTTCGAAAATCATTAGTGGAACGACATAAATATGGGTTCGAAAGTTAAGTGCAGGAACACTAGAGACGAATGATCAAACGTGTAATTTATCATCGTATGATTAATTATTCTGTCATTATTCATAATCGTTCCTTAATTAGGAAAGCGATGAGGTTCAACTTGAAAGAAGTGAACTTCGTACTACAGAAATTAAGAAACTAATCCTTCCCCCAATCGATCGAGGTTGGTGGATTGGTCGTCCGCTTGACGCTAATGAAAATTTCGATCAGAGGAAAGAAGATTGACAGGGAAATCTGCTGGGATCAGGTTCTCCATCCCACCGGAAAATGGGATGGAGGATAACAAGCAATGGGCATTGTAGGCCATAGAGGGTGCAGTTGGCCAGTGGGAGATTCAATTAAAGGGAATAGAAGAAGAGTGAGAAAATGAAACTGTGATTGAAGGCTGTCCCAACGGGACTCCATCCGTTTCTATATACCCTTTCGAGACAATCTCCTTCCATTAAGAGATCCGATCAAACCACGACCTCCCTCCTTTCCCCATCGATCGAACCCTGGCCCGGGGTTTTCTTCTTTCCTCTTTTTCTCTCTGTTATACCCTTCAAAAAGGAAGGAAGGAAGCAAGGATGGATGGATGGCTCTGCGGGATGAAAAGGAAAGACTTGAAAAGAGAAAACATTAGCGTGAGGACAAGCAAAGGCTGGTTTCCCAACGATTTTCTATACCAATGCGTTGACATGAAATACGGCTTAGTTATTTTGCCTGGCTTCTTCCATATTTAAGTCGTCTTGCACGGAATCTTCCTGGATCCTCTCCCGAGGGTATCAGGCGCACTTTCCCCAGGAGGAATCTTTCAAGGCAGAATAAAGCTTTGGATAGGAAAAAAAGGGACGAAAAAGGCCATTAAAATTCCTCTGCATCCTTCTCCGTGACGGATTAGGAGGAAACCCCTTTCTTCGCTTCCATGATACCAGAAAAGTCGCATTCTATGCCGGCTGAGTGAACCCAAGCTCCCCGGAGAGCACTCGGCAAAAACCTTCTCAAAAATTCATGACAGACTAAGATGAAGGCGTCTTCTTATCTAAAGCCGTTATTCTCTTCTTTCAAGGCAATCCCCCTTTCTCGTGCGTGTGGAAAAATGTGACTTTAACGTGAAATTCAGCCAAGAGGTATGAAAAAAGTCAGGCAGGGTGTCCCAAATTTGATTCATAATTCACAGAGAGACATGGAGATGGCCCCGAATGAATAATGCATGACGAGGAAGAGGACGCGGAGGGAGTCTATGTCAGAAACCCTGAAGAGATATCTCCCTCTTCATTGAAGAGATAAATGACAGTTCCGCAACCAACAAAGATACCCCTTTCCCTTCTCTCCATATAGCGCCCTTACACAAAATCCAATTCCATTTGGCTCCATTCCATCCGATGCCAATCAGTCCACGAATCCATCCATTTAGGTGAAAAACAGTGAAAGAAGTCGCTCGGCCGGAGACGGGGAAAGAATAAAGCCAGAAGAGCGGATGATCCTCATTCTCCTCATGCGGGGAGCTAATAGATAGAGGCAATCTGGATCGCAGCTGGAGAGAAAAAGTGTCCTAACATGGTGACAGTTGGCGGGATGATCCTGGCCCATTAATTCCGAAGATCATGACCCCATCATCATGATCATGATCATGATCATTGGGATGCTGCACTGCAACTCTCGTGGGATTAATCCCCGGGGATCGTCCAATATTTGTCATCGTACTTTTGATCTCTAACTAGAATCCTATCACATATCCTTAATCTTCTAGTGACTGGATGAAAGAAGTGCTGGCCTGAGGACAGAACGGATATGGGGACTCGGGAAGACATTTACATCTTCTAATGACGCCTCGAGAGACTTTGCGATGTGAGAAGATTAATTAAGCCATTCCTGGGATTGGGACTCCTTGTAGAACCGAGCATGCTGACGAACAGAACAGAAAAATATCCCTCGGAGTGCCCTCTTCTCCATTACTTGATTGGCTCGGCCCCGAGACGCCATTGTCAGGCAAGTGTCAAGATAAAACCAGACCCGAATGCATCTCCTCGTGGATCCCATTTTCCTCCCGCCTTCAAGATGAAGCATCTTGAACAGAAGTTCCATCGGCTCATACCAGAAAAAAACCATTTGTTTCGCTCTGTTTCACAAGAGCCTGTCAAAGGCACGGGTCTCCGGAAACAACTCCTCTTTTTCAGATCACCGAAAGAGACTTGGTACAAGTCGGGGGGGGCGTCATCATAAATCATGCCGTAGCGGGTATTTTCATCTCGTCGACATCGTCCATTTTGCAGTGTCTTCGAAAGAAAGAAGCGCGGGAAGAAAAAAAAATAATAAAAGATGGAAGAATTCTAGGGGTGTCATTCTTCCTCCCATTGATCCCTGGAGATGGAGGACGTGGACATGACTTGTGTCAAGACGCCCAGTGCCAGGATATATCGCCCTCTTCCCTCCTCCTCTTTTTCTTCCCTCCTTTTTTCCCTTACTTTAATATACGGGCTGGGACAGAAAGAGACCGACTCTGTCTTTGTCGCTGCCGGGAGGGCTCTATACGCTTGTTTTTGGGAATTCCCGGTTTTAGACACTCTTTTAAATTGCAAACGCGGACCGAATTTCGACCTCGCGACTTCTCTGGTACTGGAGAAAACCTGAGAATAATCAGATGCTTTCATTATTTATTTAAGTATGAAAATAGAAACGAGGATCGCATGTGAAAACACAGGCGATGGATCAAAGGCGCGTTTCTCATCTCATGAAAAAGGGAGTACGAGTATTCTATAGGGTTTTGAGGAAAAATTTATTGTATTTCCCTTTCTTTATCTTTCTAATATCTATCTAAACACTTATGTTCACCCTTTTGATGAAGTCTTTCACATCGAAACTTATGTCTTCCATTGTGTTTTTCTCTACCACCCTCTCCCATGGACTTAGATCTAGCTGATAAAAAGTTGAATTTTGCAACCATTATATTTACATCACGATAAGAGGAGTTGTCTCCTTAAGGTGTTTCGTTGAAGAAGTGAGGGGAAATGGGCTGTTGTTGTACCGTTATCGAGCTCTTCGCCTCTAAAGGCGAAGAGCTCGACAACCGTATAGAGGATTGGAGAGGATTTCGAAGTGAGAGCCTGAGAGGCTGGTCGCCCCGCTCTTAATGGGTGGCGAGCGAGAGTCCCTGCCTTTCAGGCTGCTTTTCCCCGGACTTTCCCATTTCTCTTCATATACAGCCCGCCATTCCCTCGGAATTAGATCCCCCCCTTGCAACATTCATGTCCTCGGATCCTCGGACAAGATATATCTTCCATCCGATATTCTCTCGAGGAACCGGAAAATCCTCTCAGGAGAGTAGGCCAGTTAATAAGCGAAAAGCATGAATTTGTATCCCCTCTTTAAACGAGGCCTCCATTCCAAAGCTAATTCAACGGGGGGAACATGGCTTAAAATGGTATCAGGTGAAAGGGGACAAAATTAAAAGAAGGGAAAAGGGGGTTAGGATCTGATCAATCATGAAAGTTTAAACAGAGGCAGCCAGGCGGAGAACTCAGTTGACAGGCATTCAGACCAGCAGAAAAAAGAGACGGGGAAAAAAATCTTGAAGAAGGAAAGGAAGCTTTGCCCCATGACTCCAGAACTGATAGAAAACAAAGAAGGAAGTTGGCCGGAGACGTGACCCATACTTTTCCGCCTCCTTTCATGACATTCGTGTGATAGTATATGTCCGTTCTCCATTGCTCATACTGACTTATCTTCTGTTCAACTTTGCCTGCCCAAGTTCGAATAAGACATGAGAGGAAGGCGTTTTTTTTTTTCTTTTTGTCAGCGAGGTTTTCGGGTTACTTCATGCGCATTTCTTTTTAATTATAAGTCTGACATGTATCATGAAAACGTTGCAAAAAATTGCTACCTCCCGGGTGTCTCATGTTACACGAAGTAAAAATTCCAATTGTTGAAAAACCTCATATATTGACATGGAAGTTAAATGGGAAAAACTGCATGCAAATAATTACTTGCCGTCTGCAATCGTAGTATAAGAACTATAAATGTTCAAGTGCAACGTTGAACAGTAGAACTTAACCCCAAGTGGTTTTGATGAGAGAAATTTAAAGGGGAAGATTCTCCTCGTTTTAGACAGTTTTGGTCTAAGATCTCTGCAGTCCTTCCCACAGAAACTCCCCGTAAGTCCACAGCAACAACACAAGAGACAGCATCATAATCACCCACAAGGGATGGGCTGCGACTGACATTGGACGTGGGGATTCATCTTTTGGGGGGAGGATATCGAAAAAGACCTCCAGGGATATAGATTGATGGGACTCATCCATCCCGATATATCAAGTCTTTGTCTCCATCCCCTCATCTTCCTCATCCCTTCAGTTTCTTCTCGTTTCATTCCCTTTGGGCAGTCGAGATCGTATCATGGATATATATTATTATAACAAAAATCTCTCTTAATCCCCTAAGGAGTCATCATTCAACCGGTTCTCTGAAACCATGTATTAAGAGAACCGGGTGTAGGAGACGCTTGGAAACTCCTTGGGAAGCATATCAGAACAGCATCATAGTAACCATAGCTGTATCATGGCCTGAAATTATTTGTCTGTGACATTACATCCATTCATAATGAAGTGGGGGTGCTTCTCAACGAAGAAATAAGATGATTAATAATGCATGAGGGACTGGTCGCGCTCATAGAGCTGTGCCGATGTAGGTAAGCAGCCTCCTATCGCAATGGACGTCATTAATAATGCCGGAATGATGATGTTCCTTCATTATTCATCTCTATTCTTTCACAATCTCGGTCGAATCAAAGCTCCAAAACGAGAACTTCAACTATTTATTGATAAGATATTGAGGATCACAGGGACACGTCACTCACAAACGTGGCCTGTCCGTTTGGAGGGTCCTCGTCGGCGAATCGTGTCCGTTTTTCAACTATTCTCACTGGACAACCCACCTCCACCAATTGGGTATTGATTGAGGATTGGCCCTGAAACTCTTCGAAAAAAGTCTCGGAACTCCCATGCCTGGGACAAGTTGGTGCTTCGCTGTACTGGCTTCGATTGGAGTGATTCCGACGGCCTCGCCGGTAATAAACGCCGGCGAAGATGAGGACGTTGAGGATAAGGAGGCTGGAGCCGATGGCGATCGTCACCGTCAACGCAGTGGAATACGTGCTATAGTCTAAATCGTAGGAACTTGGACGCAAGGATTCATTCCACGGTCGCTGGGAGTCCTGGAGGACCCGGATGATTTCGGGGGTGAAAAGTTCTGGAGAGACCGTGGTACCCACCGAGGTACTCTCCTTTTCACTCTGAGTGGCATCAGATTCCCCCCACTCCTCGGGAAGTTCCCGGACCTGGCCGACGTAGGAAGTTGTGTCTTGGTGACCCTGAAGGAGGTGGTGGTGAGGCTGAATGTCTCCGTGACGGGATCCGGTCCCCTGGATCTCAGGGATCAGGTGCGTCCACAGTGCCAGCCGGTGGGCTCGGTAATGGCTCCGCACTCGCACTCGGCCGCGAGGGTCTGCATGTTAGACCGAAAGACTTTGAAAACCATGGCATTAATGCGTTAAACAAAAAAACACTATTCGGAAGTGTTTCGGTTGGATGTGCAAAGGTTTGTTTCCCGCGTATTGGTGAATAAGAAACCTGATATTCTCATTCCAGTTCTTTTTGAGAAACATATGCATGCCACGTTACAAGAAAGGTTTATCCCTCGTTCTTCGTATAAAATGATGTGCACATACCCAACATTTGGAAGTGAGCCTTTCACGAATTGAAAAATAACCTTCGCACATATCCTTCGTGAATGAAAGCAATACACAGGAATAATTGATTAACTCTTTCACTGCGGAGTTTTAAATCCCCCGACAACCTACCAGTACTGGGTTTCTCTGGGGGATACACAAGTGAAACTTTAAATTTTATTTGATCATATTTCTTTGCGTTTACAGGGTCCAATAAATTCGTTACACTTCACAATATTGTTTACACTTCACTTTTCGTCAAACATTCCCGAGCTTGACGTTACAAAATTGTGCACGTTGGACCTGTACTCATAAGCTGACCACGTAAACTAAGGCCGATCTCGCTCACTTGCTGTATTTCCTCTTCAGACTCCGAGCTACAAACGTGTTCAGTGGTGTCGGTACTTTCCTCACAACTTACGATATTGTTATCATCGCCGGATCAGTATCCAGCATGAACTGTTCAATTTCTGATTCACCAAAATACGTTTGCTACCTATTCACACAATTGCTCGCAGTCTGGCTCAAATCAGCTGTCAACCGCCCTCTTCAAACTAAATCAGCCGACATCTAGCTAGGAAGTAGGCTAGCAGCAGAAGTCTGAAACTCGGCCATCATCGTAGATGTACCAGGTGTTCCAGAATTCCTGTAACATTTTATTTTTATAAATTTCTTTGCAAAAGCTAAAGCCCACTGCACACGAGGCAATTTTTGTTGCTCCACCGTCGCGCGACCGTCTCTCCACACGATATTGCTCCGTGTGCGGGGGTCCTGCGATGTAGGCCTGCCCAAATTCTAGCATCGACCAATCACAATGCTTGCAGATTGCTTCGTGTGACCCCGGGGGCTCATCTCAGCGACGGTGGAACAACAAAAATTCCCTCGTGTGCGGCAGGCTTAATGTTTAGGGTAAAGGACATCCTCACAACAAAAACAGCAGAGAGTTCAGATTACCCGTTGGAGGGGGGGAAACAACTGAGAAACACTTTCGCTAAGATAAAAATAAAATATGAGACAGGGATTCTGCGACTCCCTGTATATCAGCTCGGTGTATATACTCGATGGACGCACTGAAAAACGGAATATGCCGGTCGAGCATACTTGGCAGCCGCAGTGAAAGGGAAAATCAAGAACTTAAACTTGCGAAGCAACCCAGCGATTAATTGATTAATATATATGTGCAGAAATTATGAAAATGAGCGGTGAGTCCCTCTTCTCATCGACGTCTTCAAAGGATTCTTTAACTCGATTGCGTAAGCCAATATGTTCTCACGTGAGATCTCCATCACCGAGACAAAATACCACGTAGGCGGAAAGATTCAAGCCGGGATTTCCTTGTACCTTTGAGACAGGCAAATCCCATTCTGCTCTATCTTTGATGCAATTATGATACAAAAAGGTTGGCACGACTGGGCTAATCTAGAAGCTTTCAATCTTTTTATCGGTTTATTCCACTATGATATTCTGAAAGATATAAGATGGAATACAGGCGGGATTCTTGTTTCGTCCCCCAAGGACCCTTGCTCAACTAGATATATGGCATGCGGACATTGACGCTGCGACTACAATTTGCCAGGCGTCCGAGAGAGAAGGGAGAATAATTACGAGGTCTCCATATAGCCTCTCCTCTGTTCATTTATGGGACGGGGAAGGACCATAATGAGGACTCCTTCCTTCGCCTTATATGGCTCGAGCCACACTCGAGGAAAGCCTGCGATCTGGCGATATATTTCCGAGGAATGAGGGTTTCTTTGTGCGAGCTCGTGTTGACTGAAAACGAAGGGAGACGGGGAATAAATCTTGCATGGTCCAATCTAGGATTTCCTAGGGGGGAAAGGATCATATTTCAAATTCAGTACATAGCAGGGAACGGGAAAAGGAGAGTTCCCAACCATGAAGAGCCCCGTTCCTTCGTGCATCCGAAGGGAGGGAAAATCCAATAACTTCCAGCTGAAGGCCAGACCGAGCCTTGTTTCTAGCTCTGCGGATAGATACAGAACCCCCTTTTATATTACACTTCGAAAACACTTCTTTTTTCCTTGGGGGCGCATATTGATCCCGATTTCTTTCGCTTCGATCAGAATCTGTTCGGGATAACTGCTACGAGCGATCTTGATGTCTTTGTGGAAATCAAGCGTTCGTGCGTGACTCATCAAGAGGTGCGATGTCAAATATATCGTCTTAGCAAAAACCCATTTCTATAGATATACTCGGATTCTGCGATGCTTCATTTGGCTCATGAAAGCTCAAAACGGGGGAAACAATTTAAAATTTATTAAATTAGTTCTTCGTTGTAAATGAAACGTCAGAGCATTCTCTTCTGCCTTCATTAAAACGAAGTCAGAAGTAATGATTTGGCTGAAACGGAACTGTTTCGGTGCCTTTCGGATGACGTCACGACTTCCAGCTTAGATCGTTCTGCGACGATACGAAAGGAAATTCTCTGTTTGAGGTCTATAATGGGATTCCAAGTATCTTCGTTTCCTCTCTCACTTCCTTCTAAGTACTCGTAACTGTAGAAGGGACTCACCGATTTCCAGATACCGCTGAAGCAAGGTGTCCATGGCAGGCCATTGCATCACAGACTTGTCCGGGGACGAGGAAATGTTGTGCGGTCGATTCGGATCCCTATATCGGAAAGAGAGGGGGGAGGAAGAGGAATTCATCAAGGGCATTAGCATACTTGATCAAAAGAGGAGAGAAGGAATTCGTGAGAGACAAAGACCCGGATGAGACGAAGTTGACGACGTGGGTCATGAAGAGTCGGGAGATGAATGCGTCATTCTTCGAATAATTGAATGGCATCCCGATGAAAGTCCCCGTGAATGGGGCGCCCAAGAGCATCTGCAGGTCTTCCCATCCCAAACGACCCAATCCCTGCGGGTGCATATTGACAGAGATATACGCGGAGAACAAACAGTATATAAAAATGATTCTGCCCTATCCTCGATCGATGGCAGTTGGGCTTCCTCCGAATCTTTCAACGATTCTCCATGAGAAAAGCATCCTATTCGTGACAGATACGTCATTCATCTTTCATATAAGAAGATGAGATAGATCCCTAAGATCTTCGTCTGTCTGAAGCCGTTCGTTCACAATGCACGGCTTAAGTAGCGCCGATATGTGGATCTCGGAAAAAGCAGCCTCGTTCTGCCCGGTGGATGTTCAAGTAATGATTTTTAGCTGAGAAAGACGAATGACATCCGGCATGTGTCCAGGCTCCGTTAACGGCGAGGGCTCGGGAATGAGTTCCCAGTACTTTTTCTTCTTCATGACAGTCTCATCATCTTGTGATGGGGACGAGGGGAGTTGATCATCTCGCGTCAGGGGGATGCGAAGGTTAAGACAGAGTAGATGGTAGAAATTGAGAATTCAAAAAGTGTTATAATAAAAAAATAATAATTGGAGTAAAGGCTGACGCACAGGGGAGAGAGAGAGAAAATAGTTTCGAGGGGGTTTGTGGGATTTGATGTTTCACAAGAACAAGGATGCAGAACTTGTGGTCCCATCTCACGCAAGAAAAGGGATAGCCACACAGCAGCGTTCAATGAGAGCTTATAAAAGATAATCACCCGAGCAGGCACTCTCCTGAACTGGGACGCCTCATCCCAGCTACCAACGAGACGGCATCAGATCACGAGATTAGGCATCAAATCACGTGATTAAGCACAAGCACACCTCACTTACGTCATGGGTGACGTAGCAAACTCGGCTAGAGAGGCTTCGATTGCGAAATTCAACCGGCTCACGCGAGCGTTCAGTCCCCATGTCCATGTTTCCCATCATTTGTTAATTCATAGTGAGATATTCACAGTTTTCGAGTTTCATGGAGTTTGAGTTTCACGCTATAATCATTATTAGAAAACGTAGGCACGAATGACCCACAAAAACCTTGTGTATTTTCTACAGGTCTGTGATGCAGTGGATTATTTGACTGAATTTCTGTCCATTGCTATCGCTCAATGCAACTCAATTTATACGATTTATTGCAGCTTAAATGAAGTTGCAATAAATAATATAATTGTTTTTTTTAGTCTCCCGCTCCAGGCTCGATGCCAAAGGCAGAATGCTTCGGCGCATTGGCAAAAAGTTTAAAAGTCTCTCCTTTGTTTTTAAATAGCCATTCTGCTTTTTCTCCCTTTTGTTCTCCTCTTTTCCTGACGCAGCTAATATAATTTTCGGATACCCTTTTATTGAATAACACCCGTGGTGTGGCTCCACTGAAGCAGGCGTAGCGTTCGAACGGCGAAGCATACGGTGCTGCGCTGAAAAGTTTCATTACAGGAAGTGGAGCAAGATAACTGCAAGGTGAAAAAAATGGGACTCCTACCGTGACCCCCCAGCGTGGTGAATCTTTGATGAAACACGTTCTGGAAATCGATTGGGACCATGATAAAGGGAAAAGAGGAGGAGAGGAAAACATTAGCCGGCCGTCAGACCAAATATCTTAGGATCCGCTCTTAGTGTTATTTTCCCCCCTTTCCCCAATAAGTCAGCCGCCTGACTTTATCAACGTAGATCAGGTTTCCCCCCTGCGGGCTAATGCCCTACAAGCAAATCCTTTCCCCTCCTTTTATCAGATGGGATGCCCCTTTTATTAATCGGAAAGCTCGTTAGCTCCAATCTCTCCACACTATCGACCTGGTTTCCCTCATTTCCTGCTCTGATTCATTCCACGAATTGCTACAATTGCGACTCTTCTGCGGGGCACGAGCGTAAGTATGCGAAAGAAAATGTATATAAAACGCGGGGCTTCACAGGTGAAGAATCTCTTTCCTGGTCCCCAGAGAAGTGGAAACTTTTAATGGAAGGCAACGAGTTGAGACACTGGCACAATAATGGAACTTTCTTCTCACAGAGTAATGGATCGGCTCCAAAAATTAGGCACGGGATGTCACGGTTGACTGAGTCCAAACAAAACCGGTCTTGGTGGTGTCAAGTCGGTAGAAGTAAAGGACATTTTTAGAATGCAAAATTAAATATGGAAATGAGAGTGAAGATAAAAATATTCAACTGAAAATCGCACATTTAGATTAATGGTACAAGGACAGGATGGGAAAACTTAGATGCAAAATTAATTGTTGAGGCATTTAAACTCAAACTATAACTGGACGAAAATGAAAAGAAAAAGAAAATAAGTAAAACCGTAAGATTATCAAAACTTTCGGCTGAAAATTATGAGAAGAGCAGATTAGGAAGTACGTTTTGAGGAGAATATCCTCGATCCCATAAGTATGAAAATGGCACAGGAAAATAGATAAGGAAACGAAGGGAGGAAGAAAGGAGAAAAATTTGAAATTCAACTCACCCGGGGATACGGAGGATCGTCGGACGGGGCTCGATATGCAAAGTGGTAGAGGAAGACAGCTGCCTTTTCCTCCACCATCTCTTGGGCGAAGATGGACGCTGGGGCTGCGAACATGGCGTCGCCCAGGGCCTCGATCGCCGCGTCCCGATTCCCCAGCGGGGAATCCACGGCTCGGGACCAGTCCGTGTACTCGTACTCTACCGCCGACAGGATCTCCCTCAGGTGGAATCGGTAGAAGTTCCGAACCACGGTTCGAAAGATTTTGTCCAGGTGAGCGAGATCGAACCCGAGCTGGAGCTGGTGTTCGTTGAGCAAGTAAGCGGGTTCGAAACCCGTGAGACCCAGCATGACGTCATATGGTTCAGCGTTCTGAAACTGCTTTTCCGGAGCGTCATCCAGGTTCCGTTTGATCAAAACGTTGTCCACCGAGGGACCGAAGGCACTGGTGAAATGGGGACACTTCACGGGGATATCCAACAGGAGCCTCCAAGGCTTCTCCTTCAAGCAAGTCATCAGCTCCTCGTCCTTGATCTTCACTTTGGCCTTGGCGGACGAAGTGCAGTTGAGTGCGATGGCCATCTGGAGGGCACTGTCCCGTGGGTCCTGCACCAACGACTGGGGGCTGTAGGCCGTGCCCGACATCAGGATCACTCGCTGGAACAGGAGCTCTACGGGGAGAACGAAATCAGGAAGAATGGGGAGTGACATCATCCTCTGTGATGAATCAAGGACGTGGTATGAACGAACGAACACATGCGGAAATGAATGCAACAAGAGAGAAAAGCTTGAGCGGATGAAGCAGATATGCCTGTTACATGCGCGAGATATTTAAAGTACACAATAGTGGCAAGGTGTGAGGCTATAAATGAGAGCGTATCTGGCAAGGAAATGAAAAGCATCGAATTAATCCCCCAGTCCTCATGCTTCGTTCCCGATGAGTCCAAGGTTGAACCTATAATTTTTCTAAGCAGGTAGAGTTCTTAATTAGTATGACGCGATCGATTTTACGAGATGCATTCAAGTGAATGCTAGGGGAAATCCCCCAAAGGAGGGAGACGTAAAAGGGGAACATAAAAAAAATCAGGAAAGGAGAAACAAAAAAGAGAGAGGAGAGGGTCATTTAGGGGCACGTCAGGAGCAGATGTGACATTTTTGCCTCTTGGGAGGGGGAGAGAATTCCATTTCCCTGCTTTTCTCAAAACGACATCCCCTCGGCCTTGTTTTTCTACCTCATCGATCTTCCGCTCTTCCTTCTTTCCTTCTTTATTCTGTCCTGACTTCCCTGCCTCTCTTTGATGGGACACCTGAAGAACGTCAGAGTAAATCTTCGATTCGATTCGAGCGGAGCCTCGTTTATTTTTTTCCCTATAAAGGGCAAGAGTCAGGGCTTCCCTACCACAAAGAGCAGGGACATTCGTCGCAGCAGCCGTGCTTCGTCAAGAAGTATTATCACAGATGTTTACCGGTACTACCTATACGGTGCAAGTAATAATAATTTTATCAGTACTACCAATACTTCCAGTATCAGAGCTTAGCCACTATAGGGTCTCCTTTTTCTGTCAAAAGGGGTTTTTCTTTCATCGTCTCGTTGAGAAGCAAAAATTAGTGAAATGTGTGACAACTAATAGGTAAGCATCTCTTGAAGGTTTTTATTATCATTATTATCAATAAATGAAGCATCAAGAAAGGAATTGTAGCCGCTATTCTGAATGTGGATTCATTCTGTTTAATGAGGTGACAATATGAATCTCCTATTCAGCTGTGAAAGAAGCCCACTTCTGGGACGGAGCTTGCCAACTCGTATGGTAGCCGCGGCACTCAGGTTACAGCATGTGAATGATATCCGGCTCATCTATGGGCAGATCCTTGCCAAAAGGATTCCCTTTCGCCCTCTCCGACGAGATTCTCTCCCTCCTCTGCTCGAGACTCGATGAAGGAAGGGCAAGGGGCGGTCATGGAGCAGAACGTTTGGAACGAGATTCTAGATCGAAGTGTGAAGCGTAGGGTGCGAGTGGGTTTCTGATCCCAACAGACACGTAAAGAAAATCAGATCAATGAAATAAAATCAAGCGGAAAATCAGAACCAATTCGAAAAAAGAATAAATAAATAAACAGGAAGGCTCACGAGAACAAGTGCAGATTGAGAAGGTCGGTAGTCAAGTCATAGGAACATCATGTTTCTGAATTCATCTTCAACTATGCCATAATAGTACAATGCATTTTTTTTAAAATGAAGCTGAATGCGATGGAGATTTACTTCCTGTGTTTTGTGGTTTGACAATTTTGAATTTTCCAACGAGCATCATTGTCTGCCGAAGATACATTAATAGCGCCATTTGGCTCATTAAAAAATTTGTCCGCTTTAAGCTGGAAATCGGCATCTCAAGTAAAAGTTGTTTCTCCTTCGGAATAGAAAGTTTTATTTTGCGCTTCATCTGCGCTGAAACTCATACTTCAAGGATTTTCAATGGTCAAAGTGGGACAGGCGAAGCATGGTCAACCGGCATTCAACGTCATTTTCCGTGCTTCCGCGATTTTATGTCTTACATTAAACTTGAATCCACTCGACTTTCCCATCACCTTCACATTTTCACCTGGCTGTGACGTCTTGGTCAAATTTCAGTGGGTCCAGGATGCGGGACCGTGGGAATCCTGCCACCATCGCACAGCAAAGCAAGTAAGTCAATGATGTCAGCATGATTACAGTTCCGATCGGGCAGAAAGTCATTAGAGGCAAGCGTGACACAACTTAATGCGATGTTCCATAATATAGATGGATTACGACGCTGCTTCATCCCTTTGCTCCCCCATCGCATTACCCATGAAACGATTGAAAACCCTTTTTATCGTTCCTTGATCCCATTGACATTCCAAAGTGGATTAAAAGATTCAGAGGAGATGCGGTGCCTTCGTTGATGGATCCCATTGAGAGATCGATTTCATTTATTAATCTTGGGGAGGGGGGGGGGGGGGGGGGGGAACGACGCAGAAAGGTGAATACAAAGCGCAGGTATTCGCTCCCCATTCATTTCTCATTCGCATTATCGCAACCTGAGAAAGCGATATTTGCAGTGATACACAGAATGGACTATCGTTATCCTTCATCATTCTATGATAGATTGTGCAATCACACAAAGAGCTGCGATTGACATTTTGGCGAAGGAAGTGGAGATTTATGAAACGTTATTGAGGTGTACGGTGATGATTGAATGTCAGGCAACTCTGCAACTGACGGGCAGATCGATTCGCATTCGGGACCCTGCTTCTTGACGACGACCGTCACAATGGAAACCCCGACGACCGTGTCCCTGGAGATCATCATGCTTGCCAAGAGCCAAGTGTTGGCCAAGCGAAGGATCACTGGCGCTGTCCGCCTTCCACTGTTTTGCATCCGTCCTCCACTCGTTCGCACAAAAGCAGGGCTCCAGGACGTTTTCCAGGCCTATTTGACGCCTTCATCGTGCATCATCGTGTATTACAGCTGATTTCTCTTCTTTTTTTCACATAAAATTCAATATGCTCTTCGTTCGACTGTTCAATCTATTAATTTGTCTTTACCCTTCAAGAAAGATTCATGCAATTAATAAAGCCATAAGCAGTACTCCAACTCCATGGCACTAGGCAAGTCATAAAAAAAAATCAACACCGAGGAGTAGAACTATCTTGATGACATTTGGTGCACTAGCTTAAAGCAGTGAGACACGAAATCGATTAGAGTTTCGAGGTTGTAGGACGAAGCAATGCATAAGAAACTTGCGGAACGCCCGAAGAATGGGGAAGAGGGAGGCGTCGCTGATAACGCCTGTTTCCTGTTCCTCTTCTTTCGCTATCTTGTTATTCTCAATAAACGGGATGCGTCTGCATAATATGTTTTCTCGGCAACCAGCGGGGTATTCGCGAAGTTATCTCGGACCAGAAGAATGGATAAAGAGAGCGGCTCGCAGACAGACAGGCTCGATGAAACTGGAAGTGGCCTATTTCCTTTATGGAAAGAGCTCCACAAAAAAGTCAGCAGACCGATAGCCTTTTCTCGGGAACAATGCATTTTCTGGCTTTGGGTTTGGCTTTTAGTGGTCGCGTGGAAGAGGGAAGGAATTTAGGTGGTTATGGTTTTTCATTGCATTATCAAGACTCATCAATTCCACTCGCGTTGTAAGGAATAACTGAGTCTCTCCAAGAACCGATACCGGTGCCAAATCTGCCTAAATCTGACTTTGAAATTCACCCCTAAAGTGCCCTTACAATTAACGTTTCCTCAGCATGAATGATGGTTGCCCCAGTGGCACATCCTGATCTTCGAGACAAATTAATGCTATCTGCCTTTCCAGGAAATAAACTCGTAAATCAAATGTTCGATATATCCTCACTGGTTTAGTTGCTTCGTGATGGATGCACAAATCTTTCTCTGCGACATTTCGAATTCGATTTTCATTACACGGGGTGGGCAAAAAAAAGGTAACTGTAAATGAGTATTATCATTTTTCATTTTAGGACAACATTGGATGATTATCATGCCTCAATATTCTGTTGAGGAGCATGCATGGATTGTTGAACATTATTTCCGAAGATCAGGCCGTAATGAAGGTTTCCATAAAGCAATTTGACAAAGAACAAATTAATAAACTTTAGTTTCGGTTACCTTTTTTTGGCCCACCCTGTATTTTGTAGACTCATTCTTGTGGTGACAGCTCCCTTAAGAGATGTAGTGCTTCGGTTCGGGAACGTGCTATATCTGACAAGGTGACAGCTTTTCTCGAAAATGATGAAAGTAATGGCCTTGCGTGATTCTCAGGGCTTCATGAAGCTTTTAAAATAAAACTCTTTGCAAGTAAGTCCTGATTTGGCAAGTAATGAGTTGACACCAGGGCATCGGAACGGAATGTTTTTCGTTCCGCGTTCCGTTCCGCTCCGTTCCACCTGAACCCCATGTGTTCCGGTTTCTGTTCTGTTCCACGGTGATTAATTTCGTTCCGTTCCAGGCAATATTTCCGTTCCGTTCCACAGGGAAATTTAGCACAAACAAATTTTTTTTTTCGTCATATCCGTGATACGCCAGAAACTCTCTTTAAAAATCTCAATCGCAAAGAAAAAAATGGTCTGGGTACTTGGAACGGAACGGAACGACATTATTCCATTTTCCGAAGTAATCAATTTCTTTCCGTTCCGGTTTTTCGTTGCTCGGCCATCAGTGAATAGCGTTCCGTGTTCCGTTCCGTCTGGTTTTTCGTACCGGTTTTCGTTCCGTTCCAAAGTCCTGGTTGTCACCATTTCTTGGCAATTTTTCTCAACCATGGTAGATGAGAATGTTCAGGGCCACGCAACCACTATACTCACTAAATCTGGGATCTGCACGGATGCGAAGGGCCGGAGGAACATCGCCACATGGAAAAATGTCAACAGGCACCAGTGAACTTATAACAGCGGTTCCCAAACTGTGGGTCGCAGAGGGCTTCAAGGTGAGTCGCGACGAGTTTCCCACGATAAAAAAAAGCAGTATCCGCATATACCAATCCTGAGTAATGGGATTAGCTCGGTCCTTGCACACTTCTATTGATACCTGCGGGCGTCCCCTCCTTCCTTCTCCTTCCACCTTACTCTCAATTCAAAGAATATCCCCTTTCTCATAAAGGCGACACTGGCGTTGCTTCCCTTCGCTATCATATATTTGTGTGAAACAGGATTCTCTGCTCTGACTTCGATAAAAAAAAAAGTTTCGTTCGTGGCTGCAAGTCGAGAACGATCTCCGACTCGCCTTGTGAAAGATTTCTCTCAGAATAAAACACCTCTGCAAAGTGTCCCAAACGCTCAAGTCATGCTCAGAATGAAGCAAGCACTGCAAAAAATGCCAATGTGATCTGAGTTCTTGCCATAATTAATTTTAAAATACCCCATTCTGGATTGTGGTGGGTCGCGAACTTTTTTGGGCGTCAGCAAGTGGGCAACCGCTGACATAATTAGAAAGAATACCAACGTATCGAGGCCACAAGGTCCCCTTCCTCGGGGAATAATGAATGAAAATTTAAAAAAATTAAAAAGAAATAGTTATCTAGCAAGTACACGGTACAGCGAGAAAAAAACGTGAAATAAGGACGAGACGCGGGGGGGAAGCAAGAGGAATTTTAGAGTTGATGGCGGGCTTCAGTTTTTCAATCCAGAATCAGTGGGTTCATTATAGTTTAGCTTAGCATTACGAATATGCCCTTTAGCGATCGCTGAAAGGTCTACTCTTCTCGCTGATCTTCGCTTTTTTTTACAAGTAAATAAATAAATGACATTGGAGTTGGAGCGGGTCAGGTTCTGGCTTGGGAAATATGGATACGGATGAAATTGCAAATTTAGACATCTGGAGAAAGTGGGGCATCAGGTATAGGTTTTAATGACAAGCGAACGAGTGACCCTGCACATTCTCAATGGCCAGTGTTGAGAAATGTTGCTGAGGAATGGCGTCAACACGTTATTTGCCATATCAGGACTTATTTACAAGAAGTGCGTGTGTGTGTGTGTTTTTTTTTAGCGCTTTACGAAGCTCGGAGAATCACACAAACCCAATACTTCCATCATTATCGAGAAAAAGCTGCCACCTTGTCAGATATACCAGACCTTCCCTCCATTACTTCTATTCCTTCCCTCATTTAGTATGCCCATTTGATACTGCAAACTAAGGTAATATTGACATTTGTATAAGGAGGCTTATTCCATGGATTTTCCATTCGCATCGGTCCCAAATATCTTTGATAATCGACAAAACTTTTCTCTCGTAATGAAGAGCGGCATTGTAGCCTACACAATACGAGGGGTGATCAAAAATTTCCGGGACTGAATTTTTTATGACGCTGTGGTGACTCTTTCCGACTACTGATATATCCTTCAAAGTAGTCCTCTTCGGCATCTACACAAAATTTCCGAAGTTTCTTCAGCCTCCGGAATAATTGATGACACGAATCTTTTGGAACCACCAGCAGCATTCGTGGCGCGTTCGTAACGCTGTTGTAAATCTCCTGAAATTTCCTTCATTTTCCAATTTCGGCGGTGTCCGAAATCCCCGTGCTTCGTAAACCACCCAATTCGCCGGACTGAGCTCATAGGATTTTCTTCTTTCCCCCCCCCCCAAGCTAAAGAGTGTGTCGAAATGAAGATTTCCAGCATTCAAAGCAAAATTGTAAACGCGACGCGAGCACTGCTGGTGATTCCAAATGTTAAGTGTCAGCAATGTTTCCAGCAGCTGAAGAAACGCCTGTTTTTTTTTTGTGTATCATAGATGCCGAAAAATGAAAAAAATGAAAATTTGTGTAGATGCCGAAGAGGACTAGTTTGAAGGATATAACCATCAGTAATTGGAAAGAGACACCACAGCGTCATAAAAAATGCAAACCCGGAAATTTTATATCATCCCTCGTACCTGTGTCCGTATTATTCAGCTTCCTCCACAAGTACCAATACAAGTACCAGCCACACTACGGCGCGCTAGAAGTCTGTAGATTTACAATGTTTCAATTTGCGGATTGAAGTCTCCATACGGGCTGACTCATCGAGAGAGAGAGAGAGAGAGAGAGGGGGAGAGAAGTCCTACATCGATCGTCCTCACAGCATTCGTGTCTGTCTATTTCCTTGAGAAAATTGGATCAACTAGTATTGAGGCCTAACGCGAGGTTCCCCGAGGAACTTATTAGGATAGGCAAGAGCGCGGAAGGCTTTCATTTCTTTGTTCCAAACACGAATTGGTGTTTTCGTACATACGAACCCAGAGCCTGCCGAATCACCTAAGGTTTCAGCACGAAAGCAATGCTGAACCTCTCTTTCTTTATTTGTCCCTCTTTTTCAGTTTTGTAAGACCCTCGACTGATAGCGTTAGTACCGAAATAAATTGTCATCTCAGCTATTTACCTGTTGTTCCTGAATCCCCTTTTGTGACGGACCATAGTCGTTGTATTGAACGAGAGGCAAATTTATTGAACTTACAAGAAATCCATGACATTATGCACACGATTGTTCCATTTTTATTTTTTTTAAATTTCATATTAACTCATTTATAATGACAACTAATGGGCGAATACTAATTCCAAAAACTTAAAAGTGTTTACCGTGCACCTGAACAGTCAGTAATTTTAGTTCTGATTTAAAGAGTATGGAAACGATTTCCGTGTCCCATCCTAAAGTCACCTTAGAAATGCGTCTGGAAGAAGATAGGAGGAGGCTGTGATTCACTGCATCTCATGACTGTCTATCAGGTGCAGGAATCGACTTTCGCATCAGTTTCCAATTAGCATACATTGTAAGTTTCTCCCCCCACCTCCTCCCAGGAGCCCTAGACACATGTCACACGTCCGCCCATGTGTCACACTTCCCGTGTTCATGCCACACTTCTCGTGTCCCATTGGCTGGGGTCTGATGCTTGCGACTCATTGAATAATCAAGATCTGGAGCCAGGGACACCGGTCCTCTATTCTTTCTAGTACTACTGCAATGAAACTTAGTACTATTGTAAAGTTTAGGGTCTCAAGAAATAAAAATTATTTGTCTCAGTTCACGTTTTCTGGAACTGGATGAAATGACGAGGAGGGGGAACGGAATACGGAGGCGCTGTCTGCAATCCAAGTTTAATGCAAGTAGACCTGTTTGTTCTAAGTAAACACATCTGATCTCTTCTGTTGATAAGACCTCAGGTTTATTTAAGTTCATTTTTACCCTTTTGGTTGGGTAGATTCTTGTATTACCCTACAGCAGCAACTTCTCCGATTCAGTGCTAAGAGCGTAAAAAAGTTCTGAAATTACCATTTTCAATTAGTCAAATTCAATATCTGGCTTTCCCTTTGGTGAAGAGTAATTAGACAAGAGACATGTAGCTGCCACTTCTCAAAATGCAAATAAAGGTTAATTTAACGTTGATGACCAGACCTGAATAAGCAAAACGACAATCGATCATTTGTTATTTTAAAAAATTGTCCCGATTTCACTATAAACTATGAAATGGAAAAAATGTGCAGTCCATGTACGAGGTATGGCAAAAAGATCCTCAACTTTATAACTCTGCACGCACTGGAACCATTACAAGGAAACTCGCTCTGTGCAATATTCTCCATGCCCTTTTAAAGTTTCATGCAATTTCGTTCCGCTGCAGCAAGGTTATGAACGATGACTCAATATAAATCGGAAATTGAAGACGGACGGAGACTGCCTCAGCGGAATGACAAAAGTTTCCGCATATGCGCGCGGCGCATTCGGGCTTTCCTTCCTTTCGACTCTTTATTCGTGCTCGATATCCAGCTTGCTTTGAGAAGTTGCTCTTCGCTTCGTTTTGCAAAGATGAATTTTAATGAACTCTTGGAAGCCTCAGGCAAAGAAGCTTTTGAGGCTATGCAGGGGGCAAGTTCCATGAAAATTGCAATAAGAGCAAAGATGGTTAAATGACGAGGGTCTTCATTGCCACACCCTGCGTATAACTTTTTCATTATTTTTAATTTGGCTCATCGATCACCAGAGTGATACAGTCAAGCACTTTGTCAGTCAAGGTCTCTCTTTCAGGCTTTATAATTCCGTAAATTCTGTACGACCATCAGAATCGCCTGTCTGTTCCGGAATCCGATTGCTGCACTGAAGGAAACCCGCAGCTTTCAGACTAGGTAAATGAAGGAACTTATCCCAAACATTTGCTAAATGTTTTCAATACGGGTGTTCGTATTTAAACGCAATATGGGAAATATTTTGCCGCCTGTTCGGGTAAAGCTACAAGGCCCACCGGGCTGCATATCTGCAAGGAAACGCAAAACAACACACCAGTGATTGTTCTTATCCTTATAGATATGCAACCTGGTGAGCTTAATGGCTCTCCACAACTCCACAAACAGGCGCAAAATTTTCTCTATGTTGCGCATAAATACGAACACCTTATGTGATACGTAAGGCATCTTTGGAAAATGAAAATTTCCAGTATTCAATCCATAAAAATCTCTTTGAAGATGCCTTATCTCTTCCCAGAGATATTTCACGACACCCCCTGACACATTTGTGTAGGGGTGGTTCCCCGAAAAGAAGGCGGAGACCGAAACTCGTTTTGAGGCCCCATCAGTCAGACCCACAAGTCCATCGCCCGAAGAGGTCTGCCCTTTTTACCCTCGGATTGACGTCCTTTTCTTGTTGGGGACCAACTTTTTTTTTTCGGCCTATGCTCGTTCGCCCCGGTTGCCCAGTGAGTTCACCCTTCAACACCCCATGGAGTGCATGGCCTCCATACAAACCTACGGCGACTACGAATGCACGACGATGGCTGCTACGATTATGCGGATGTACTTAGTACTAACGACTATATAGTCCTGCTGTAGCTGGGAAGGAGGCACCCTCATTTTTTTTTTTAAGAAAAAAGCTGATTCGATTACGCCTTTCTTCATCTTAAGCCATAAAGGGTCAACGCTTCTTTTGTGCGCATGGAAGAGAGAGATAAAGAGTAGCTGGTCTCAACAGTGATTGATGGACTTCACACAAAAAAATGCTTCTTTCCTTGGCCGCGGCAGGCCTTCCTCGGCGAAGTCTAGACGAAAGTCAGCAAGCTAGAAACTCCCATGGAATCTCATCGTTGCCTGAAGCCATGAGGGGAAATTTCATTATTTTCTAGTAAGGTTTGCAAGCATGATTATAGACTGCTTCTTTCCATTTATTCGTGTGGACGATGTTGAACCGAAGCTAATAAATCCTTCCTTCTTTGGGGCAGACTAGCTGGAGTCTTCAGTGTTTTTCCACGGGGAGTCTCAGGAGAGTGGAAGTGGATGGGGGTGGATTTAAAAACAAGCCAGGCTCGGAATCCCATACAAGGAATGAGGGGGGGGGGGGGGAAGAAAAACCTGTCTCGGGGATTGGAATGAGGTCGCTGTCGGAATTCGTGATTAACCTCCCCCTTTTAAGCCGGGAAAAATGTCTGCTGGAAAAAGAACCGATTCAGAACGAAATGGGGACCTCGGCCTGAAATTCCAATATTGCTGCCTTCCTTCCGCCCTTCGATTGGTCTCCAGACTTGAAACCCTGCAGATTTTATGAGCCTTCATTCCTTCTAGCTGTGTATCGATTCCACAAGTAGAAAAATAAATAATGTTGCTCTTTCCCTCGCCTCTTCGTGCCGCAGCCCACATTCCCTCGATTACGAAACTGCAGTTCTGGCATATGAAGCATGTTACAAAGCATCCCCCGATACCCACAGAACTTTGACTAAATTATCTGGATAGATATTGACTGTTTATACATACTGCTGGGATTGAAAGCGTTCATAAATATCGAAGCCACGATAAAACTAGGAAACACCAGGCATTACGTGTTGGATAACGGTAAACAGGTAAGCAAATAATATCACACCCATTTGATCTCAAACTTTTCAAGTGCTCACATTCAGCACAATCACATCTTCCAGATTATTGGGATTTGATTTGATGCTTGGAGCGGGGAAAGAATGAAAAAGCAAGCGAAAAAATGATGACATGAGGTCGGATGGGACGTAAAGCCTCTTCTACAAAGGAACAGCTTCCAGGGCCTGGCATAGGTATCTGTATTGCTGGCTGTATTGCCTCAGTAATCTCATCAATTACTCCTGGAACACCGGCGTTAGGACTGCAGCATTACGCGGAAATGTAGGCAGTGCTCAACGATTCATCCGATTTTCAATGGCGGCATTCAACTGAAGCTTTCCTCCCTTGACTTATATCGTCTCCGGGTCAATCACACGGGTTAATCTCATCCAGCTTTTTCCTCCTTTGGTCAGGTGAAAATTTTCAACTCCCCAAACGGGAAACTCCACGCCTTCAGAGTGACTTGCATGGATTTTTTCTGGATCATCTATCCTACTACGTCAGTTCCAAGTTCGTTAATCTTGCATTCCAGACGCCTCTTTTCCCAGGAACCCTTCGTCACGATCGACGACGACTCCCGTCTCGCTGGAAAGGACAGGGTCCTTTAGACACTCGATATCTTACGCGTAAGGTATCTTCTCTTGTTTCCTAGTCTGCACTCTATTTTACCTTGCTCTTTTCCCACCTAAAGGACAGGCTCTTACTTCCTTTTAGAAACGTGAGAGACAATAGTAAGACTTACATGCATGCACACAATTACTTTATTAGTATTCGGCCGCTTTTAAGCTTTACTTGCAAGTGAAATCGTCTCCCTGGAGAATTCATGGAGCTGCTTCTGAGGAAAATTTTCCTCTGTCCAGATTTTCTAAGACCAGCCCCTCGCATGTTCTATCCTTGTTCCCCGTCCTTTGAAGTGCAAGGACTCAGAAGGAGGGGGCAAAAAGGGAGGGTTCCAATGGCTTAACCTAATTTGTAACGATTGCCTTGATACGAATTATTCTCTTTATCTCGTTTGACACCGAGTCTCTTCCTCGACCTTCTGGCCTCTCTTTCCCGTTTATCGATCGGCAGACTCCTCTCATTATGTACTCCGAGTGGGCGAGCACTCGCTGAACATGCCAGAGCAGAAGGATTCAGGAAAAGGAGGAGTCAATTAGGAAAAAAGTCATCTCTGAGGTACACCCCTTCCTGCCAGTGACATAACAGGTCGTCGAGATGAATCCTAACTCGATTTTCGCGTGGGTGGTTACATATCTCCCCCCTCCGCAAAGCCCTCCAATAATAGATCGATGTTGGTAGATCCGAGCAGAAAGAGGAGAGTCGACATCGCAATGGGAATTCGCATCGACGGAGACTCACTGGGTCTGACGGTCGGGGAGAGAGCTAAGAAGTTGACGTAGGAAGCGGCGGCGATGCCGTGACCCAACAAAGTCACCTTCCCCCTGTGACCCCGGAAGACGTGGATGTTCTCCTGGACCCAGTGGAGGACGGCGATGAGATCCAGGAGACCCAGGTTGGAGACCTCCTCTCTCCGGGAACTGCGTTCCAGTCTCAGGAACCCTGTTAGGGGGACTCGAGGGTCACTCGTCGTCGTAGGAGCGAGGTCGGACAAACACTTGTAACTCTACATTCACTTTTACGTTTAATGGAATCGAGTTCTTCATACGTCGTAGTCCTCTGTATGCACAGGCATACGCCTGGAAAAGCTTTCATTGCTTCGAGCAAACATTTGACTGAGTTAACGCAAGGAAATATTCGCTATTGAATGGAGAAAATTGCTCTCTCAACTCTCCATTCCTGCCCCTATGACTTTTTCAAAGAAGGAACATATTTGTTAAGGTTAAATTCCAGAAACAATAACAGCTTTTCTCCGGATCCAGGTTGTAAATACGTCAAGTCAAATCTATCGAAACGTACATGACGTTCCTCCGACAGCTTTCTTCTCTTTTTCTTTTCAGAAGGCCAATTACACTAGGATATATATGAAAGAAACAGTTATGCACACCAAGTCGGCCGATGCGGAAATTGGGCAGGACGACAATGACGTTGCCGAAGGAGGCAAGGGGACTAACGTCGTGAATCCTGCTTGGACTCCACTCGAAATCGTCCCCGGACAGAAACACCAACACCGGGTATCCGCCATCCGGGACACGACCTATAAAGCGTTAAAAAAAAATCAAATTCAAAGCATACTTTGAATTCAGGGTCCTCGTAGGGAAACTTCTTTTGATCGATCGGTAGTACCATGTGGCAAGGAGCGGAATGGCATTCAAGGAAATGTATGAAAAGAACTTCTGCATATGTTTTCACAGATTCATTTTGCCCAGGACACTGTTGGAATTAGTTAAATTAAATTAAAAAAAAAACAAGCGGTGGAAATATACTCAAATGAGGTGCAATTAAGTGAAACCTAAAAAAGGCTTCACGGAATGAAATTGGCTGATAACAATTTAGAGTAAATTTCTTCTATTTTCTTTGCATTGGCATTTTTGAAATTTAAGTTCCATCAAATTAATCACAACTTTCATCGACCTAAACGAGAGCAATTGACAATGTCATTCTTATGTATATTAACATAAACATTCAACAAGGCATCGAGATGAGGTTCATGATCATGAAAAAAATTTTCAATTTAATCTCATGACTCATTACATCTCATCTCGTATCAACGGGTCTCATCGATGCGGACGGAGCGCATGCAAGGTATACACAAACATGGCTCGTTGTGAATTGCATGATCCAGGCTCATAATTCATTCTCTCTTCATGATCGTTACCATCTTCGGTCACGTGATGCAGGGATCAGGTCATTACCATCATGACTCACTGTCGTGAGAGAGGAAGCATGAATGTACAGATGCATGTTCAAGCATGAGGGTTCGTCATAGGGACTCAGGAGATGGAGGTTCCTTCGAAGGCGATTGGTTTCCAACGATGTCTACATGTGCCACAGTTTGGTAATCTCTCGGTTTCCTTTCAAGGAGACACTCACGAAGGCTTAGAGTCTCTAATATCGTTCCCTTGTAGATGATGGAGGTGGAACGGGGCATCTATGGAAGGGAATCTATGGAGGCCAAGAGGGGAATCCATTTCCTGCATCCACGATGCAGAATCTGAGGAGGGAGGGAGGGAGATTTACCGCTTCAACCGACGATTAACCGAAGACGATCAATCACGCTGACATGTTCGAACCTTTCCCTCTGTACCGACCTACCGCATATCGGAAGGAAGGTAAATGGAAGTCCCACAGATACACCCTAGATAAGGGGGATTTCATGTAACTAAGTCGCATCATTTACTTTGCAATAACTCGTGGCCCTACTTTGTTGCTTTTGTATTAGGGTAACGTGTACCTCAATACAATGGCGTATGCAGGGGGGGGAGGGCCTTAGGGGGTTCGAGCCTCCCCCACCCCTCCTCCCTTCCGCTTGTCATTCAATCGTTTTAATATTGAGTCATCTCTTCCTAAAACTCTGCGAAAGTCACATCCTGAATTTCATGCTTTGACCTTAGTACTTTTATGACATGAATATGCAGTTATTTACCCCAATATCTCCGTATTTCTATTTTCCCAGAATGCTCAAATCTTCTGGCCAAAGTAATGGTTCAAGAGTAACCTGAAATTACATGAAAATATATTAATTTTATTACTTTTGCTATGGAGTGAGTCATCTATTAATAACTCAATTGCTTATTTCAATCAGTAACTCGTAGCTTACCCTATATTCGAAACAGATCCCAATCTGATTGAGCTCGAAGAGATGCAGATCTCTGAAAATAAAATCTTCAAACTCAGTGAAAACGTTGAGACGTCTCAGACAAATAACGGGACGACGATTTCAAACGAAATGCAAAGGTACGAAACACCACAAAATAATTTGTTCGGAATGGAACCCCCTCCCGATTCCATCAATCTTCATCGCACACGGGTCCTTGAATCGGAGAAGCTCTCATCGCGTTGCAGCATGCATTTGACGCATGAATGCACAATCCTCCTGACGGTTATCCATTTAGGTTCCCTCGGAGGACTCGAGGCAAACTTTCCGCTCGCGTGAAAACTTTGGGCTCACGGGATATCTCTCCTTTCGGAATAATTATGCTTCTTGAAACTCGTATGCGGCGAGGCTTACGGGCTTTACTCATGATATGGGCTTTCTTGCGAGAAATCACAAAGCATTACATACGAGATGAACCCAGTTCCTTTTCTTCTCCGCACAAAGACGGAAAAGAGAAATGTTATTACATTCCCTCCCTCTCCCGAGCTTGGGCCCTCTCTCTCTCTCCAGAAAAAAAGATATTAGCATGGATGGGATGATAAGTAGCCTCATGAATCGAACGAAGGGATCGATCCACGTATCTATAATCCTCTCGCTGTCTCCAGAGACAAAAGAAGGGAATGGAAGAAAAGTATTTTATCTCCTCTTTCCTTTCTGCCTAGAAAATTCCCGATGCGAATCACGAAGAACGAGCTTGATTGACGATAGCACGTTGGGTGATACGGTTCCCATCGTATGGGTTCTCCGGATGTTTCTGTTCGAAGATGCTTTCTGCTATTCTCTGTGTTCCGATCTCAAGTCTGAAAGGCGGCCGATATTGGAGTCGGCGGATTCGCCTATGGCCGATTGCCAAGCCCATTTCCCCCCGTTGCCCTGACAGGCTGAACAACCTCTGATTGCCCATCTTTGTCCTCGCCCTGGCTCCTCATTCCTCATCGACCCTTTTCAGTGTGTCTTCCGTGTATGAGGACGTAAAAAAAAAGGACGACTTCATCTCACAGTTGGACGACTCCATTGGAGGCATGGGAGTTAATCTTCATATTCCAGGAGCCAGGCAAGAGCCCAGATGATGACGTAGCACCATATATACGGAAAGAAGGGAATCAGGGAAGCGTGAAGGGAAAACTTGCCCGTATTGTCGTTTCTTCCTCCGTTCTTAAAAAAAGGAGGACTTAGCGCCCTCGAGCGAATGATTCGTAAATGGTTTTCCCCTCGCCTATGAAGATATGTGCCTACGGAGGCCTCTTTCCCACCCTCTTCTCCCCGTATTTCCTTCCGGCCCCCTCGCACGCCTTTGCAATTCAATCAGGGAGGCAGTTTGGAACCTTATTAGGCCCCTAATCAGCCTCTGTTCTAATTAGATCCGTCAATACGATAATTCATCCTCGACTCACCCGAAGCCGGATCCGGAACAAAGATATTGAGGTAAAGGCAGTCCTCGTCTTGATCCCGGGCCGCATCCCGGACGTGGCGCAAGACACGAAGCCGAAAGTGGGGAAAAGTCTTTCCGGCTTCGGCCTCCGGCAAGGTCACTTCCGGCGGGAATCGCTGCGGACACTCAGGCGGGAAGCGATCCGCACGTATCGCCTCGTGTCGGTGCGTCGGCGTGATCGGAGGCATGAACCGAAGGTCCCCGATCGGGGGCCGAGCGTACGGGATGCCTAAATAGGCATGGATGCCCACCAGACCGGACCCGGGCGGGAAGGAGGCGGAGACGCCGAGGACCGGTCCGTACTTCGTGTCCACTGGGTCCTCTAAAGGTACGACCTGGTGCCAACTCCCAGGGACCTGGTTAGCACTGACCATCACCTTAACCTTCACTTTCGACAGAACGAAGACGAAGAGAAGCCAGCTTGATATCCTCTGCCATTGCATTGCCGGCTCTCGTCATTGTCGCCTCGGCATCGCCGCTAATTCGTCACCTGCAAAGTGGAATTCATCGAAATAGGAATAGTAGCTACGTAGGAACTTCAATTGGGACTATTTGCATACTCGACCATTAAATCTAAACTACATTTCAGAGATGTTGCATATTCATGGTTCACGATGCATGAGGTATTTAAGAAGGGGAAGAAGGGAGAGAACTCTTCTGCCATGTCTAGGTCTCGCCCACGTCAGAAACTTTTCTTGCATAGACAATGAAAGAATGTTGCAAAGGAAAGATTTTAAAAATAAATCTACCAGAGCAATGAAAATCTTGCATAGAGAACTTTCCGGAGTGGACGAGGCCTTCACTTTTTCCATGCAAGATGAACAAGAGACATTTACTTGCTTCAGAAAACCTTGAAACCGTTTTGCTTGAAATAGTGATTTCATCCGAACGTGGAAAAGGAGGAATAAGATCAAATAAAGTTTTTCCTTCAGACAGTTCGCAGCAAGTCTTCGATTTTTACGAATCTAAAATCGGCGAGAATTCCCCCCGACGTCGGAGGCAGACGACTCACTTGAGCGGAGCGGAAGGCAGGAGAGGCCATCGCGTCCCGAGGAGGCTGGAGATGGAATGAACGGCTTGCAGCGCGAGAAGGGAAAGAGGCAGGGATCCACATCGATCCCAGCGACGTGCAGCGGGGTTCTGCGCGTTCCCATCTGACATCCGCATCATCAATCCTCTCCTCGCTCCCCGTCCACGCAGTTCATCCATTAAAAGGAGTATTCATTCTGCACACACGTGGATCGAGAAGCTCCAATCGAGGGGGACCACACGAGTCAGAAGGTTCCTTCGATTCCTGGGAGGAATTTTTTTTTTTTTCCGACGATTTTTGGTTTCCTTTGAAGTATTTGATTTTCTTTTTTTTTTCTCCATTTCCCTCTCACGAAAAGCCATTTGATGGGGGGAAGATTCAATCAACCGACCCGTCATCTTTTCAACGTACAGAAAATGATTGAAAAGGAACATTTTGAGGGGATCTTTTTTTTCCCCTTTCGAGTGTTGAATCTGTCGGGCTCCATACACCCATAATGCCTTTCCAGTGAATTTCATCTGCGCTCATAAGGAAGGCCTCGTGAGGAAGACCCCATGAGAAAGGCCTCAATTAAACCGAGAGTTCTGCATCAATTCATACGGCATTCTCTCACGCTTAAATGATTTTCTTCGACAAGACTTTTGCTAATGCTCTCCCTCCCGCCCCTTCCGCGGTGGAGGAAAGGATTTTATCCCAGAAGGGATGAGAGGAGACAGAGCAACTCGCGAAGCAGGCGAGCATCCATACAATCACTGAATTCCTCCTATGTGCGCAGTCTTTGAGTAGGTACAATGGGTTGATCGGTGAATGAAGTTCTTAAATGCCCTAATATGGTTTCATTTCGTCTATGCCGAATTTAATTACTCAACTTCTCAAACATTCCGAGAATTTTTGAAAAGCAAAATGATGTCAATCAAGAATCTCAATAAATTGAATTATACCAATAGCTTTAGTTTAACCAGAAAACCAGAAATTAGAATGATCTACGCAGGTCTATTTTACCTCGATTTCGTCTGGTTCCTGCAGAGTTATTCCGTTATTCATGACCAGACTTTGTAATACAAAATACGAACTTTTCAGCGACTATCGAACTTGCCCAGCTCCTGTACTTCCATGTCCTCAAAATAGGTGACTCGGCTCTTCCTTCGGCTCCAGCTTCCGCGATTTTTGAGCGATACAGACGCAGATCGAAATACTTTTTTTTTTTCAAACCGACAAGTTGAGGGAGACATCTCCCCGTCACTCCCACCCCCATCTCTGGTCGCCTTCAGACGCCAGAAGAATCTTAAAGATGTCCTCATACGCTCCGGCTTGATTCCTGTCACCACCATCGATCCTGGTTTTACTTTCTGCTCCGGCGAGCCCCCGCTCCGTCCACCCCCTACACCGAGGAAAATTACAACTTCGTCCTCGTCACCTCGTCAATCCAAAGCAAATCCGCCCTCTCCCCCCCGATGCTCGGTCCATTCCCGACGTCATCCTTCATCACCTGCGGAATGTGGAGAGGCTCAAAGGCGAGATTAGTAGGTCGTCTGCCGACCGGGCCGAGGCTTAGCGCAGAAGAACTCGAGGGAATTCACGTCAATAGCCAAAGGTCCCGAGATTCTTCTGTAGGTTTAAGCGTAATCGAAAAGGTGAAAGCGGATCACACCATTCACACACTTAAAGGGATTTAAAAACAACCTTGAAACCGATCTTAAATTCCCATTGATCCTTCTTTCTACACCCACCCCACACCCCACGGCCACCCCACAGACACCCCACGGCCACCCCACAGACACCCCACAGACACCCCACCACAACCCCACTCCACACCCTCATCGCTCTCCCTTCCTTTCCTCATTCCTCCTTTGTATTGTTTGATGCTCATGCATCCGTTTTGCTTCTTGACGTCACTTTCGTTCTTGCATTCGTTTCCTTTAGCTTTTTACTTTTCGTATATCTCATTATATTTATATCTTTATTCCTCATTTTTATTCTTCCGTTTTTAAGTTTACTTTATAAAATCTTTACATGTTCTCCCCCTCTTGTAGCGCTTACCATTTTTTTTTCGTTTCCTGATCTCTTCTGTTGTTTACATTTTCAAACTTGAATGCACAGGAATTCCCGCTTTTCCCACTTTTTCTTTCTCCAAATTTTCTCTTTCCCAGCGAATCTACCAGCTGGGAGCGAATAAAGGAACTTGCGTCTTCCAAGCGATTTTCCGCGAAAGGTCAAAACGAATTCTTTTACATAAAACACGGACCCACGAAATATTGAAGAATATTCAATATCGACTCGTACCGAGATCCCCGAGCCATTTCGGATCGCATTAATTATTTTGCTGCATGCGAATAGCAGAATCCATGCAGCAAATTTCCCACCGGAGACAAAATGTATGGCTGCGAACGCGAATCGCATCGACTCTGCGGAATCCCATCTGAAAACAAACCGAGGGCAATCTCATCTTTTTTTTTGGCTCTACATCTCACCTTCTTGATGAGAAAACCAGCCTGGAACTGACGGGGGAAAAGTCTCGGGATTAATGGGAGAGGGAAACGCAACGAGGCACTAGAGGGCAAAAACGCATTTTTGGCATCAGACGCGGAAGAAGAAAAAAAGGAGCAAAAAATGCAACACTCATGAAAACTCCCTCGAGATCCTTTTTTTTTACTTCTGAGGCACGATCGAAGGATCCTTCTTCCAGATCGCGATGCGATCACGTCGGAGAAACAGAAGAAGGCAATCTTTAAAGGGAAGAGGATCCTCGAAGGTAAACAAGGAAACCAGAGATCCTTCCCGAGCTCTGTTTGACCCCCGATCGACTCCCTCGCACGATGATCGGCGTCGATGAGGGGGCGGGGGGGGGCAGGGGGGGCGGGCCTTCGGTTCGTTGAAAAGCCGGGGAAGAAAGAGGAGCTAATGGACCGGGGGTGAGAAAAACGTCACCTGAGCGGAGGTGGACCGAGATCGATGCTATAAAAAATAAATCAAATCGAGTTGATTTCGCATCCGGGGAAATTCTTCGTCTGGCTTCGTTCCGACGGGAACCATTTCCGGGAATGGCCTGCTGCCATTCGCGTGTCGGCAAGGAATGACAAGAAAAATCGAGGCTCAACCCGGAAGTGCTGGATCGGTGGGAAGTTCGCGGGGGCGTCGACAGATGTCTCTGCCTTCGCCTGACGGCTTTTCAGTCTTCGACCGGGTCGATCGATCGCGCACCGATGGAAGTCTCGGGCAGGTTTTCGACAGCCGAAACGTCCACTTCTCTTTCTTCGAACGCGAATGACGTCTTTGATCGACAGGGTCGAAGTTGATTCATCACCGGCTTCAAAATTTAATTTTTGTGCGGATAATCCCTATAAAAGGAGTTGGGTAAAACTCCACGGATAAATACATGATTAGATTCCGAAAATTTTCGATTATCAGCGTGAACGTTTACGTTCCTCGCTATTTTCAAGTCGGAAACACCTGAGTAAATGAAGGATCTACGTGGATCATTCATTTATTCACGAGTCAATAAGAGCAGCGAAAACATCTGAAAGATTGATTGGAATTCTCGGAGAGGCTTTCGCTGAATTTCCTCCGTCCAGATGCATAAAAATGTTTCCGAGAATTCTTCGCTGGCTTTTAAACGGATTTCCGCATCCGGGTGCCAGGATGCGGAAATTTCCTGATATTTTCGAGCTCGTGAAAAAATGAAAAGGGAGCCATATAAGAGGCGTTAGTTCCGAAAGATTTCCTCATGAATTTAGGAAAGAAGATATGCATGACGAAACGAATACCAGAGGAGCTAGTCGGTAAACTTGTCACGAAGAGAATTGCAGGAAAACCACAAGGGGGGGGGGAGGGGGAGGGGGAGGGGGAGGGGGGGGGCCTCGTGCTATTGACGTGAATTCCCTCGAGTTCTTCTGCGCTAAGCCTCGGCCCGGTCGGCAGACGACCTACTAATCTCGCCTTTGAGCCTCTCCACATTCCGCAGGTGATGAAGGATGACGTCGGGAATGGATCGAGCATCGGGGGGGAGGGGGGGGATTTGCTTTGGATTGACGAGGTGACGAGGACGACGTTGTCATTTTCCTCGGTGTAGGTGGTGGACGGGGCGGGGGCTCGCCGGAGCAGAAAGCAAAACCAGGATCGATGGTGCTGACAGGAATCAAGCCGGAGCGTATGAGGACGTCTTTAAGATTCTTCTGGCGTCTGAAGGCGACCAGAGATGGGGGTGGGAGGGGGAGGGGGAGGGGGAGGGGGGGGTCCTCGCATCTTGCCTGCATCCAGAAACACAAGAGATGGATGATGGGAAGATGCGAAGGCATTCGCTGTCATCGGGATGCAGCATCCGCATGCCGGAAGAGCAGTCGGTCCCTCCCTTCCAGGTGGCAATCGCGGCATCCGCTGCAAGTACTGCAGTCTCGAAAGTCCACTCCAAAAGCCATGCTTCTTAGCAGACGTAAATTTATATAAACGACACGTCGCAGCACGAAATGAAATTTTAGGGCGCATCCACCCTTACACGCGGACGCAGAGTGGATTTTGGAGTCGGAACACGAACGCACGAATTAATTGCTCCTGTGAGGCGGGCCGAAAGGACGACGACGGGACCGAAAGGACGACGACGACGGGGCCGCCGCGGCTGCACCACGATTAATTCGGAGGGGGCCGTGACGACGTCCTCGAATCGCGCGATTATACGGGATCCATTACGAGGCACGAGGGCGGATGCCGTTCGAGGGAGGACGTGGAGGACGTAGAGGACGGACCAGACGAGGGAAAAGGGGAGAACGGGATGGGATTAATGCCCGAAGGGAAAATGAAAATGGGGTGTTCCCATCTAGTCGTGGAGACGAAATCACCAGCCCGTCCGCATTAGCTCTCTCCCTATTTCCCATAATTGTCCCGCCTACATTCTTCCGCTTTTCCCCCCGATATTAAAACCCTGGTGGAACACTCGCATTCGCCCGGGACCCCGAGGGAAACGGGCAGCCTGTATGGCAGAAAATTGCTTACAAGGCTAAGGGGAGGAAAAAAGGAAGGAAGATCGAGGCGATGATTAGATTCCGAGCCATCTCTTTTTCCGGTTTTTTCCCTGCCACCTTGGATCGATGGCTCCTTCGGGTCCGTTTTTTCCGACGGATCCGGGAAATATTTCGCGACATCGAGCAAATATGAAGCGTTTGCATTCCCATCACGGGAAGGGAAG